GAACGGTTAGAACAGAAGTTTGTCCTGTGTCCGGTCGCTGTGAAGGATGCTTATCTCGTAATTTTTATGCTTCATTTTCCAAAGGCTACTGGTAAGGTACATTGCTCTCTTCAGGTATACGTTGTGAAGAACTACTGTGAACGAAATGAGAACAGTTCTGTTATTGTCTTTGCTCAAACTTGCCGAGAATGCCAAGCTTTAGCCTACATGTTTGATGCACTAGGATTTAAGGTCTGTTTATTGTTGGAATCATTTTGCTTTACCTTTTGATCGATTCTCGGCAGAATTTCTTTGCATCTACTATCAGGCCATTTCGCTATCAACTATCTTGGTAGCTCTGGTTGATTCAGGCGGGAGCCACAAGAAAGTTGACCCTCGGATCGTAATATGGGAATATTGTTGTAATATTCTGTTCAGGTTGCATCACTTCATTCCCAAATTGAACAACGCCTTCGCAGTGCAGCGCTTTCTTCGTTCCGGTCAAAAACTCTACGGATTCTTGTCTGCACGGATGTAGCATCTCGTGGCCTCGACATCCCTCACGTATGTCCTTTTATTTGTTTAATTATAACTCCCATCTGTTTCATATGTATTTTTTTCGTTTTGTCACGATTCAGTTGAATTGAACTTGTCCCTTGTATCCCTCCTCAACACAGATTAGTCTGTATCGAAAAGGGCATTTTAAGGTTGATTTGGTGGTCAATCACAACGTTCCTAAGTCGCCCAAGACATATGTTCATCGAGTGGGTCGTTCAGCTCGTGCTGGGAGGTGGGTCATATATGTTACCTGTTCATACTTTGTGTCAAGGTTTTGATCGTTTCAAGCGACTGCGCGAGCATAGTTATCGATCTAGCGCATGGCAGTGTATGCCAGCGTACAGCAGCAGTCAGAGCGTCTAGGAAAGCATGCATATCGATCTATCGTTTTGAGCGTTCACCAGCATTTTGAGCGACCGGGAGAGTGTAAATACGGATCTATAGTTTTGATCGCACACCAGCGTTTTCAGCGACTGCCCGCCAAAAGCTTAAAGCTGCGCGCGATAACGCCCAAAACGCTGACGTACGCTCAAAACGCTAGTCGATATGCATACTTTCCTAATCGCTCAAAAGGCTGCTGCGCGCTGCTGTACGCTCAAAACGGTGCCATACGCTCAAGACACTGACGCAAAGTATGAACGCAACCTTGCGTTGCCTGAATTCGATATCTGGGGACGCACGAGTTTCTTCCAGGTACGGAGCTGCATTAACATTCGTCACCCAGTACGATATAGTTCTTCTCCAAGCCGTGGAAGAACTTATTGGAATGAAGCTGGAGGAGCTCAAGGTAGTCTTTTTGGATATTTTTGGTATCGATCGCCATTATGAACTCACAAATGGTTCAGGTGAGCGACCAAAAGATCACACGTTATGTGACAAAGGTTCTCGTTGCCAAGCGTGAAGCCGAGTTGAGGCTAGAACAAAATAGTTTTGGTGAAAGAAAGGAAGCCAATCTACGCAAAGATCTATTAATGAGTGGAGTACCCGAGGAAGAGGTGAGCTAAAATTTACTTATTTCTTTTTGTAATGCTTAGAGATCGAAGAGATTAAGCGGCCTCGAAATAATCGAAAGAAGACGCATTCCAAAACAGCTGTAGGAGAAAAGAGGCCCAAGTTCGCTGCTACGAAAGAACTTGATACGGCAAAACGAAAACGAGTAAAAGTGACATAATGACAAAGAAGAGAGAGAGAGAAATAAATAAAATTTATTAACATTGAGTATCACATCGAGGTCTGTCATAAGTTGAGATCTTCATCAGGATCGCTATCGTCCAAGTCATCCTCCTTATCTGGTGTGTAGATGATTTGACCACCTACTCGTACTTTGCGATCGGCCATTCGCCACAGCTTAATCTCATTCTGAACATCGGAGTGAGAGAGCGCGCGCTGTTATCGTCCCATTTCCTTCCCATTATTTACCGTTACCAAAGTTTTGAATTCCGTTCAACTTACGTACCACTTTGTTTAGATAGCGAGGTAAACGGAAGATTCAACTGAGACTTGGCTGCAAGTTCTTTCTCCTGAACAAGCACAATTGAAACATAACCACAGCTGATAACTGAATGGAGTTCAGTTTTAGACACTCCAATAGATGAACTTACGCTTAGTTCTGGCTCTAGGTCCATTGCCTTGGTAGGGTCTACCGTGACTGCAGCAGAAGTGACTTCCAGTGGTACGAACTTCTCACTCGATATTTTGAGGTCGCTATTCAAAGCAACCGTTTCTGTCTAAAGAGTTTCATAGAGCAGGGTTAATGAAGTTTTTCTAAATACACCAATAAAGTCCTGGTAAGATTATCTATAATTGTGGTGGAGATTGTAAGGGACGGCACGCGAATGTTCAAAAGCAAACTCCACATTCAAATCTCTCGAGGACTGCCTGGTTGACCACATTAGTGATAGAACGGGTTGGCCTTGGCGAGTAAATAATTACACATGAGGAGCGCGCGGGAAATGAAGCGAGAGGTAGTTATACGCTGGGCCGTATTTATGGTGGCGCATTTGGCTTCTGTAGCAGCAAAACCCACGGCTGTCAGTGGAAGAGCAACTAGACGTAGAGGGGTAGACAAGTGACGCCTTTGGCTATGGTTAGGCGCGTGGTTCGAAGAAAGTGGTGCGTCGTACTTTTCCGAAGAAGGGCGTATTTTTTCGTCGTACTTTTTTCGTTGGGAGAGGAGGTCGTACGTGATTTGACCTCGGATCCCCCGCCGACGGAAAATGTGTGGGTGGAAAACATGAAAATGTGCGGAAAAGGTAGACAGGGTGCTGGGGAAAGGGGGGGGGGTGCGTACAGAAGACCCTGAATTAGGTTGGGGGGGGTCGTACAGGCCTTCCTTCGAGAGGGGGGGTCGTAGCCAGGTCCTTCGTTCGAGAAGGGGGGGTCGACTGACACCGACCATCTTCCACCGCGTTTTTCTTTATCCAGATGCTGTCCCTGTCACTATGTCTCAAAAAACCTCCAGAACCGGTGGATCCTTAACTATCTTCCCTGGCAGCATGTTCAAAACTAATTCAACTGCGCAGAGCAGCAAGAACTGACTGTAACTAACTGACTATCAGCAAGCTTTTACGTCAGTAGTATAGGATTTAGCGCAAATAGACTTCTGGCCTTCTCTGGAGAAAAAAATTCACATCGCGTTTTGGGTTTTGGTGGCTGTTTTCGCTCTTTTAGCCACACTATGAGAACCACCAAGTGCGAAAGTCAGAGAGCACGTCAAACGACACCTGTTTTTACCTGTCCTTCACCCGCCTGGGTCAAGAGGGAGGAACAAGTTGGCGCGTTCCAGCTAACAGTCGTATCTCAGGCGCTGTTTGTCGACGGGGGGCATTTTGTATTATCATTGCTTCCCTAGTTCCGGTTTACAAAGCTCACTCTGGTAAAACTTGTGAACTCTTGTGAAGCTGAAGTAAGATTGTCTAGCCACTATCCTGAAACGTGTCAACTCGAGAAACGGCTACCTAGATGGGTCGACACATCTATGGAAAGCAAAAATGCCCCCTCGTCCGACAACTGCGCCTCGTACTCATATGCACGGTCAAGACGAATCGCAATTTGTCGCTCCAGACCGGCGCGTCGCCGATGGGCGCGACTTTTTCCTATTTTAATTGCTGTGTCGATGAAGCACACATTTCATATAGATTCTACTTCGTAGATATGGCTATTTTGGTGATGCATGGTCTATTGTTGGAATCTACGACGTCTGAACATCGCCATGTGCGGCGCGACGTCGCACGCGGCGCTTACCAGCACGGCGAATTGCGATTGTCTTGTCACATACCCCAGCTAAACTATGAAGAAAGAGAGCATCTTAAACGCACCACTTCAGTCCGCTTTTCCGTCTCCGACTTGTTATGTCACTAAGTTTCTGAAACGCGAGAATTATCGCGCCATCTGAAGTTGATGATCGAGTTCGCTGGTCGCGCGCAAACCGACTGTTACGTCATTCATTATTGATGGAATTCCTCTGAGCAAAACAACGCAGGACGGCGAAAAATCTTTGGCTAAATAGGACCAACCAGGACAGCGAATTAGGCTAATAGACCAACCATTAGACAGTAGTTGTAAGTGATGCAAAGCTAATTATGACTTGCCTTTCAAGCGAAAAATGACCCCAACGATTGCATCTACAGTAAACATATCCACAAACACATCCACGCAGTCCAATATACAGCATGAAGGCGTGCATGAGCTTATTTTCGTAAAGATGGTTTCTATTGAATCCGTGGAGTCCAAACATATGAATGTTGCACTGCAAAGGCCAACTACGTTAGGTTGGCTTTGGACCTCAAATTTCATTGAATAGTCTAGTTCCATGCGGAAGAAGGAGCTTGTGAGGCGGTATGAGTGTGCCTCGGCGCCAAACCTGTTCTGTGCCAGTTGTTGAAGCGGATATGCGACAACAACTGGTAGAAAATAGTGATACGAACGATATGATACAGTCTTGTCACTTGCACGCTCACACAGTTGGTGGGGAAGGGATTTGGCACGCACGCCGTACTCATCCTGCCAGAGACGCGCCTTCGCCCGCAGCGAACTACTCTGAACCAACCTTTCACATACTGTAGGAATATCTTCTTCGGAGAACGTTCTCTCTGCCAGGGATTGTCAGCACAACCAGGGATTTCGACGAGCGAGCGAGTGCAAAAGCAAGTGCTTCACCATGACATGATTCGTTATCTGCAAGCACCACACCCTCGGAACTTGTAAATGGTCTTCTTCGCTACGGATGCTGGGCGTTTCAGTTCAGGAGGGGAAGGAGCTGGATTTGGCGCGGCGCCGTCGCTTCTCCACCAACTGCTGAAGCTGGCAGGCGACCGCAGCTGGTTGAGAACTGGCTGTCGCCACGCTAGAACCAGCCTACATGAAATGCTTCAGCATCTGTAGCGAACAAGACTTTAACGTCTCGCTAGATAGTGGTCAGGTTATCTGTCAACCTTGAAGATCTCTTCTTTTCTAACTTGTAACCGAATAAGATTAACTCTTACCCCTCAGCAGCACAAACCCATCTGGAGCAAGAGTTCTCAGTGCCATAGCCCTCAAAAGCAAGTTTAGCGGCGCTATCGTAGTAGGAGGAAGAGATTGTACTCGCCAGTGCCTCTCTGTCCTTTCCCCAATTCAAGGCCTGAGCTCAGTAAAATTACGTCTTCCCTGCAAGACACTGCTCGACGTTTTTAGTTGTCTGCACTCTCAGCCTCAGCCTTAATTAGACCGAGTTCAGAGTTCGCGATCGTGCGACCGCACCGCTCGTTTGGATCGCGACCGGGAGCGGTCCAACGCCAAACGTTGCACTGCCGCAACGGAACAGTTCAAATTGGTATTATAAGAACCCAGCCCAGTTCGAATTATTCCGTTGCGGCGGCGCGCTGCATCGGGTTGAAGTTTTCCTGGTCGTGGTCGCGCGATCCAATCGAGCGATCTGATCGCGCGATTGCGAAGTCTGAACGCGGTCACAGGGGAAAGAACGCAGAGCCTTGCGCGAACTGCTCCTCTTCATCAAGCTACGTTTGTGCCTAGTGATTTATATAAGTGTATTTCTTATCAGTAATTGATTCAACAAATTAATAGACCTTGCATATGAAAGAACTCAGATTTTATCTGAAACTTTGAACTTAATGACCATAAAACGTTGATTGACAATTCGCATTCTACAGACTTACAAAAACGGGTAATCTACAAAGAAAATGTTCCGGGGTTGGAAAAAGACTGAAATTCCACTAACATACAAACACGTACGTAAAAAAACATCCAATTCAATGAAACGACCATGCTAAAATATTGATAATGAACAAAAATAAATAATAATAGTAGTAGTATGGCTTGTTTTTCACAGAAATACAAGCCCAGCCGGTTTGAAAAGATTTGTGAGAGTGCACATCATGACAGGTATCACTACGCAGAAATGTTACTCAGTGGTGACTTCTTGTGTATTTTCCGCCTTCTCTTCCGGCTTATCTGCCACTGGTGCTTGTGCTGGTGCAGAGAGATCCATAGGGGTTTCTTCATCAACTGCCGATTTAGACGTCACAGTTTCTTCCATAGCTGAAAACTTCGATTCACGCAACTGATACTATCTTCGTCATATGAAAACAGACCAGGTTTCTTCTCAGGTGGAGCATCGGAGGATGATGAGGGGTCGGAAACATCCGCAAACATACTCGACATCTGGAAAATAACGAGGTGAGCGATTCGAAAAGTATGATTAGCATGAAGAGCAGGACAGTACCTTTCCTGGCTGATGAAGGGCTGCGAATTTCGGTTGGATACCAGATAGCTGTTGACCAAGAGTGGGGGTCACGAAAGGACCTGGCGGTGGCAGAGGAGATCGACCAGCAATAGCGTCAGGATCTTTCGATGTGAGACGTGACAAAATCCTAGGAAAAGGGCTCATAAGAAGCAGAAGCGTCAACGAAATTATAGAAATTTCTGCATCATTAACCCTGTATATCCCTCATTCTCGGAATTCGAGCTACATTTTCCTTTTTGTCTATGGGAGTAGAGTTTACCAGGGCTCCCCTTCCCTGCACCTCTGCACACGAATACCTGACTCGTTCGCGGCACTAGCTGTGGCACCGGCGCAACAGGTGTCACGCTTGTAGAACGCTTTCCAGCGCAGGTCTGCGACGGGAGGGGGAAAGAGATGGGGGGTGGGTGCACTTTCGCCAGCATGGTAAAACGTTTCTTCTCTTGTAATCTCACGGAATGGCTCTCTAGGGAGACGGGCAAGAGAATCGTATGTTGCCGCTTCGCCGCGCGCGGCAATGACGCGACGTTTCCTTAGTTTGCACTACCCTTTCGATTGGAGCATCGGATTTCATGTAGACAAGGACATGGTAGACACTTGTGTCTATTTTTGGTCATATACCGTCTATTCTTGATCAATACCACTATCGTCGTCATTAGCAGGCGACGTCGCACACGACGCTCACTGGCGCGGCGACTTACGATTCTCTTGCCACATACCCGGCTCTCTAGATGGGACGACACGTCTATGGGAAGTAGCAAAAGTGCAATGCAAAATATCCCCTTGCCGCTGAAT